CTCGGTTTGGAACGTGTAAGTTTATTTTGTGGGCAAAACTGACTGACGAACTGCACGTGCCGGGAGATTTTCTGAACTGGCATCTGGATCGCAATCGGTGAGGGGCTGGAGAAACAAGTCTTATGAGGAGTGGCTGAGAGAAGTGGGGCTGTTTAGTCTGGATAAGAGGAGGCTGAGGGGAGACTTTATCACTCTCTACAACTACCTGAGAGGAGGTTGCAGTGAGGCGGGGGGTGGTCTCTTCTCCCAAGTAACTCGCCATAGCACAAGAGGAAATGGCCCCAAGGTGCCTCAGGGGAGGTTCAGATTGGATCTTAGGAAAAATTTCTTTACTGAAAGACTGGTCAAGCATTGGAACAGGCTGCCCACGGATGTGCTGGACTCACCAGCCATGGACGGGCTCAAAAAAGTGTACATACGGCACTTCAGGACACGGTTTAGGAGGCATAGTGCTGTTGGGCTGAGGCTTCCACTTGATGATCTTGGAGGTCTTTTTCAACCTTAATGACTCTACAGTTCCAACCTTCACCTCCTCCTCCCATCAGAGCTCTACAGCTACAGCAGCTGGCCCCGCTCCAGGGAAGGGAACTGCTGGAGTCCCCATCCCTGGAGGTGTTCAAGGCACAGTGGTGTTGGGTTGATGGTTGGACTTGATGATCTTAGAGGTCTTTTCCAACCTATGATTCTGTGTGCCCTGATGTGGTGATTTATTGCGCACTGGGGTGAGGAGGTAACATCACTAAGCGCACCCAGCTCCTGTCTTTGACTGGCTTCTGGGTGGGACAGGAGGGTTGGCTTATGTCCTGGTAAAGCAAGCTCACCTGTGTTACAGGGAGGTCGGTCTGGTGACTGGCTCCTGGTTGTTGTGACGCTGCTGATTTTATGAGGAGCAGCTTTGACCTCCTGAAGAACTGCTGGTTGTGGTGGCGGGATCCCTAGGGTCTGCAGGGTTGTTTTGTGGAGCTGAATCTCAGTCATACAAAAAATGTTTCTTGAGAGCTGGGCATACACAAATTACATCTATTTTTTTTTTTGTTTTTTTTTTTTTTGACTGGACCTCACACAGAAGCCAGTGGGGTGGAGTTGATTTCCATCCAGCACTTTACAGGAGGTGGCAGGAGCTGCATTATCCTTCTGCCCACCGCTGACCAGACTCCCTGCACCAGGCAGGGTTTATGGAGAGGCTCAGGTGTGATCCCCAGCTCACCTGCTGCCCTCTTCACCAGACTCGTGGTTGGTGCTGGAGGATAAGGTAAAGGGCAGGAGCAATTCCAGTGTTGCAGCTGCCTTTCGTGGTCCCCTTTCCCTCTACAGATAGAAGAGCTTCTGAAGGAGGTGACATTGAAGGAGACGAAGAAGAAGAAGATTGATGCCTTCCTCCATGAGATTAACAGCCTGCTGAGTGCCATCCCAGAGACCCCAGAAACTGAAGTATGTTCTAGAGGGATGGAGGAGGCAGCAAGACCCCTGTGTGGGGCAGGCTCTGCTGTTGCTGTACAGGCAGAGGTCCCTGTGCGTTATCTCCCTAAGGGGCTGAAAAAATAATACCTTATTTTATGTTGGAGGGGGCAGGGGGATGCTCCATCTCTAAGCCCTGGATGCAGGCACCTGCAGTTGTGTGGGGTGAGGGGCCCTGGTCTCTGCATATCTGTTGGTGATGCTCAGAGCATTTCTCATCTCTTGTCTGTTCGCAGCTCACTGACCAGGCCTGGCTCCCCAAGGGTGTGAAGGTCCCGTTCCTGCAGGTGCCGTTCAGCGTGAAGGGCAGGTTCCGCTTCCTGCCCCCAGCCGAGCTGAGGGTGGTGGGCAGCTACCTGCTGGGCACCTGCATTAAGCCGGAGATCAACGTGGACGTGGCGGTGACCATGCCGCGAGTGAGTCTGGCCATGCCTGCTCCCAAATGGCCTGGGGCCCGGCTGAGCCCCGTCCCCTCCTGTCCCCCACAGCCTCTGCCCTGTCCTCGCTGTTCCTGAGTGAGGTTGCAGCACCTGGACCTGCAGTGTCGCAACTCCCGTGAGCGGCTGGGGAGTGCAGTCTCACCGCTCGCTCAAACAGAGCTTGCAGCTGCTTTGATTTTAGTTCCTCATGAGGATCTTCCTTCTCTCTGCCTGGGGTGGACCTCTTCCACATTGCTGGGGAGACAGATGCTGTCCAGTGTTGTACCCCATTACCATTCTGCCCCAGCTCCCAAGTCGGTGCTACGGGGAGGGTGATACTTGCAGGCCGTTACCCCTCCAGAGCTCCGTCCTCTTGCAGCCCAGATTTTGTGTGATGGAGTTTGAGACAAAGCGACGGCCTGTTTGGCTGTATGGCTCTGCTCTGTCTCCTGTGATCCTAGAGCCTGGTGAGCCAGCAGCAAGGTAGTGCTCCTGCTCGATTTGGAGCCCCTTGGGGCTGTAGTAGCCTGTCTGACACAGGGCTGCCTGTGGGGCCAGAGGGTGGTGGGTGGTGTGTTGCCTCGGGCTGAACTGGGCACTGCAGGCAGGTGAGGTGGGGTTGCCCCGTCCCTCTCTTCCCAGGAGATCTTCCAGGACAAAGATAACCTGAACCAGCGCTACCACCGGAAGAGAGCTCTGTACCTGGCCCGCATTGCCCAGCATTTCTCCAAGGAGAAGCTCTTCGGCAGCGTGAAGTTTGCCTACATGAACAGCAACCATCTCAAGCCCATCCTGCTCCTGAGGCCGCAAGGTAGCACTTGAGCATATCTCTGTTGGGGCGAGTGAGTTGGGTGCTGGCATTAGCTGGAGGGTGGTGGTGGTCTCACTAGAGACCCTTTGGAGAGCGGTCAGTTTGGGCCTGTCATCACAATTGGTGGCAACTTTTGGAGCTTCGGTTTGCCCAGTTGTCTCCTTCCTTCACACTTCCTAGTCCTCAAGGTCTCTTCCCATGCTGTGGTTCCTGATCTGCCTCTGCAGCTTGGCAGGGCTCCCCAGCCTTCGCCTTGCTGGCTGGCCCTCCCTGTGGGTACTTCAGGGAATTAAGCAGACCCTACAAAATCACATCTGTGTCTAGTGCTGTCCTTCCTCCTGCCCTCCCCGTCCTTGCTCCGCACCGTCCCCTTGCCTTCCCAAGGCACTGGTGAGCAGCCTGGCTCTTTTCTGGGATGAGATGGAATGCACTGGCTGCTGGGTGCTGCTTGTTTCTGCCGACCCAAGGTGACAGCAGGTTTGGATCTGGGACAGGCAGTAGCGTGGCAAGGCCAGGGCAGGCAGGAGGTTGCTGAGAGAACAGATGGGTACCCGACGGGCCAGGGGCGGTGGAGGAAGATGGTCGTGAACAGTGTGACTTGAGGGTTATCGGTGGCTGTGGAATGTGGTCACTCTCTGCTCTCAGATGATGTCCACTGCTGCTGAGCTTTGCTGGGAAGGAGCTTTTCCTTTCCCCAAGCTGAGGATGCTCCTTGTTTTCTCAAGTCATTCTCTGCATCTCTGATATCCCTTCCTCCTGCATATCTATTCCCTGGTGCTTACAGGCAAGGATGAGAAGATAGTCACCGTCCGACTCCATGCCTGCCCTGCCCCGGGTCTCTTCAAACCCAGCCGCTTCTATCCCAGCAAGAACAATGTCCGGACAGCCTGGTTCATGGAGCAGAGCACCCCCAACGAAGGTAGGACCTGGGGCTGGGAGAACACGAGGCTGCTTGGTTCAGCCAGAGACTGCACCCAGCACCGGGAGGTGGGTTTGCTGCAGCCCTGTTCTGTGAACAGGAGGTTTGTAGTTGGGTCCAACGTGCTGTCGTCTCCCCACACAGGAGTCACCGAGCCCCCGACCCCACACTACAACAACTCCATCCTCTGCGACACGGTGCTGCTGTCCCACCTGCAGTTCTTATCTAGCGCAGCCACCGACTTCCCGGGCATGAAGGATGGCCTGGCCCTTCTCAAAGTTTGGCTGAACCAGCGGCAGCTCAGCAAGGTGTGTCCTGTGCCAGGGGACAGGGAAGGCTCTGCTCGCCTGGCTAATGCGCCTTTGGCCTGCTTTCCCTTCCTAGGGGTGGAAAGGTGGTGGATTGGTCCTGGTGGGTGGTGTGGTGGGCTTGTGACTTGTGTGAGCTGTGTTAGGTTTCAAGAAGCTCCATCTTACCCTGTGGTTGGGTGAGTCTGTGTGTACCGGACAATCATGCTTCCTTGAGATCCCTGGAATGATCGGTTTTTGGGGTGGGGTTTTTTTTTAGGGTGGAATTCATCCCATTTCCCAAAGAACTTTAAGGTGTTGCCTTCCTGCGAGGCGATCTGTATCTCTGCTCATTGTACAGGGCTTTGCCTAGATTGTCTTTCTGCCAGGGTTGGGGCTTGAGGGCTGCCCTGCTGGTGATGATAGAGATCAGAAGCAGTCATGTGGGATGGGCTCTGGGGCTTGTGGTGCCTTGTTGAGCTCTCCTTGGCTCAGCCCTCTGTTTTCACAGGGCTTGGGGTGCTTCAGCGGCTTCTTGGTCTCCATGCTGGTTGCCTACCTGCTGATGAAACGCAAGATCGTGAAGATGATGAGTGGGTACCAGGTGCTGAGGAGCACCCTGCAGTTCCTGGGTGAGTTTCCGGGGAAAGGCTAGTGTCAGCAGAGTCTCCGTATTAAGCCTGAATATGGTTGGGAGAAGGGGGAATTGGGGCTTTTCTCCCTCTGATGCTGAGAACCCTGTGGGTGAGGTGGGCAGATGGGGATGAGGCAGCAGAGCAGGGCTGGATGGAGCAGCTTGCAGAGGGGTGGGTAGCCCTGGAGGCCAGCATCGTGTTGTAGCACTGTTTGCGTTGTGAGACTGTGGTGGTATTGGCACATGGCTGTACTACTCTCACCAGTGGGGGACAAGGCATGACTTGTTCCTTCCTGTCTGCCCACAGCCACCACTGACCTGAGTGTGACGGGGATCAGCCTAGCGAAGGATGTGGATGCCTCCCTGGTAAGCAGCCTCCGGCGGGGGTTGTGCCTGCGTCTGGCTGTGCTGCCACCACTGCCTGGGCAGGGATGTGCCTGTTACAGGGAATCTGGACGGCAGCGAGGTGGTGGTGTCCCGGTGTCTGTGCTGCGCTGTGGCACTAAGGTCTGTGTTTGCTCTTCCAGCCTGTCCTGGATGACTTCCACCAGGCGTTTGAAGTGGTCTTTGTGGATCCCTCCGGGCTGGTGAACCTCTGTGCTGATATGACTGCCAGCAAATACCACCAGGTACCAGGCAGGTTGTGGTGGCATCCTGAGATGCCATCTTAGGAGCAAGCTGAGGCAAGCAGAGGGTGCTTAGACATCTTGGAGGAGGATATTGGACTCTTAAGCTTTTTGAACTTTTAACATCGATCTCTGTCTCTGAAGCTTAGAAGTGCATTTTAAGGATTGTATTGCTGGCTTACCTGTCTTGCTTCAGTGACAGAGGAAAGTTGTTTTCCTCTTCATGGGTACCTTTGGGTGAAGCCGAGCATCTGTTTGGCAGAAATAACTGTTTTGGAGCAGAACAACACTACCTTGATGGCAGGCATATCAAGGAGGGACTGTCTGGCCCGCAGCGACAGCTGTTGGTGACTTGGCTTCACGCTGAGTACAGAGGCTGTCTGGGATCAGGGTCTGGTGGTGACCATGGATCTGTGGTGGCTGTGTTTGATGGAGGAGCATTAGCGACTGCTGCTGGAGGGATTTGCTTTCCTTCTCCCCTCCAATTCATGCTCATGCTCTGTCTTGTCTCCTTGCTCAGGTCCAGTTCGAAGCCAAGCACTCCATGGAAATTTTGGATGATCGCATGGTGGACGGCTTTCAGGTGCTGCTCATGACTGCGAAGCCCATGCTCAGAACCTTTGACCATGTCTTCCAGTGAGTCTTGCTGTGCTGTTGGGGTAGTGCTGAGGAGCCTGTTCAGAGAGGAGTGGGCTGCTTCTGGCTTTGGACTGGGGTGGATTTGGACTTACTTGGTGGGAAGTGGCCACGCTAGCTCTGAGACAGACACTGGTGCCTCTGGCATTTGGCCACTCCACTTCTACTGTCTAGATAGCCTCCCAGGAGAAGGCAGTGCTTTGGTCTTTGGGAATGATAACTGTCCCAGGGATCAGCATCTGTGGTGCATCCTGAGATGCCAAAGTGCAGTGTTTCTTTCTTCTTGTAGCCACCATCCTCAGCTAGGACCCTCAGCTCCCCACTTTATCCATCCCCTAGCATATGTGTCTCTCAGAATGGATTTGGTGGCAGAGGTGGGTGACCAGCTTCTCTCCTTCTTCTGCAGCCTGAAGCATGTCTCCAAGCTGCAGGGTGCCTGCAAGAAGATGCAGCTGCTGAACGAGCTGATGGATTGGGGTGGGAACTACGTGGCTGCAGCCCTTCCTTTTGTTGTCTCGCTGCTGACCCGTGGGCTGGCTAGGAGAGCACTGCTCGTGGCTCACGCCTTGCCCCAGATCCCTGAGGTAATGCAGCTCGGCAATGACACTGCATCCTTCGCAGCACCTGGGGTCTTGTGTGTCCCTCGTGGCACTGCTGGGTGTGGGGACGAGACCTTTGCTCACTGGGGGAGGAGACAGACCTGTCCTCTTTGTGGGATATACAGGACCTGAGGCCCTGCACTGCTTTGTGGTCTGCAACTGTAAGGCTGGTTCTAGGCACAATTCCTGGCCCAGCAATGGGGCAGGGTGAAGACAACTGGTTTTCTCATCAGGGACACCTATTAAATGAGGGTTTCCCTGTCCGTGCTTGTGCAGGCACCAAAGAGCGTGTAGCAGGAGGTTCATCTAGCAGCCCGATATTGTGGCAGCCATTGCTCCAGCAACCTCATTTCTCCTTTTGCTTCATGTTCCCCATTTTCCCCCAGTGGTCAATTGATGCTGAGCCCCCGAAACACAAGGATGTTGGGTCCCTGACATTTGGGCTCCTGTTTGTCCCTGAGTTTGCTGCCAGCACATTGGAGAAGGGTCCGCAGGCCGACAGCCCTGAGGTAAGGGGAGCCCTGCTTGTGCTGAGTTGGGTGGAGCAGAGCTGGTGTTCTTCTGTGGTTGCGGGTGGCTGTGGGGCTGGCTAGTGGTCATGGGAGTGGTTTGTCTGGCTCCAGTGCTGACCCATGTCCTTGGCCTTGCTTGGCCAACATCCACCCCACAGGCCCTGGACTTCCTCCAGTGCTGACCCATGTCCTTGGCCTTGCTTGGCCAACATCCACCCCACAGGCCCTGGACGTTCCAGGATGGCAGCATCTGCGAGGCGGTGGTGTGGGAGGCTGACACCATCTGCCAGAAACGCCTCATTCCTGAGCAGATCGTCAGGCACCTGCTGAAGCTGTAAGTCATACCAAGCAGCAGCCGAGGCTGGGAGACCTGCAGCTGCATGGGGTCACTGCCACTCTCCTGTCTTGTGCCACGTCCCTGGTAACCCTGTTGTCAGCTTTGCACTTTGGGGGTCGTTGTCGGTAGCTTTGGCTTTGTGAAATCTGGAAGTCACTTTGGTGATGGTCCTGATGCTGCGAGCTGCTTCCCAAGAGAAGGTGGGGAGGGCAAGCGCATGGTGCTGTAGCTTCTGCTGGTGGCAATGTGAAGGGCAAGGAGGCAGCATGGTCCTGCCCTTACGTGCAAATGGGATGTTGGGACACTCATTGTTCGCAGAGCTGAAAGAGAATCCATCTGGACCTTACAGGATGTTTCATTAAATCCTCTGAGACCCTGTAGTGGTCCCTACAGCATTGGAAAGCCTCCCTGTAGCAGGTTAGGCCTTCTGCTGAAAATGAGACCCTCTTGCTGAGAACAAAGGGGTTGTGTGGCCTCTTTATCTTGACTTGAGAAGGGGCCTTGTGAGGAAAGGCTGCATGTTGGCAGCTTCAGCTTTGAATCGTGTGAAGCTGAACGAGGAGTTGTGCCGCTTTGGGTGGATAACTTGGGCATGGAAGGAATGCACAGAGATTGGTGTCCTCCCCATGACCTTCCTGTATGGAGGGGTTCCTTGCTCTTGAACTGACCCTTGCCTGTGGGCACAGCGTGCAGTGTCAGGATGGATGGGCTGATGTGTCGTAGGTCTGATGCTCTGTTTTCTTCTTCCACATAGCCACACGGACATTCCTGACTCCTCCATCTGCTACACTGGAGCCCTGCTGGAGTCTGTGATCAGGACTGGGCAAGAGGTACAGTTGGGGCTGTGGGTTTCTCAGGGAAGGGAGGTATGAGAAGGGCTTAAGAGGAGGTCGTTTTAGCTTTCTGGCCCTGTGGCAGCTAGGTGGTTCCAAAGAGAAGGAAGCAAGGGTAAGGAAAGTGCCCGCCTGTCGGCGCTTGGATGGGCAGCATGGTGGTCTCCTTGGATCTGCTGAGCCTTTCATGCCAGCCAGGGGGTAGCTGCTGAAGTCCTCTTGCTCTGGTAGCCCCTGCAGCCGATTTTCTCCTGCAAACACCCCACTGGCCTCCTCTATCTGCTTGTGTCCACTATGTCCACATTGTCTGAGGATATATCACTGTCCCGCTCTGCTGCTCCGGCTGCACCTTTCAGGTCCTGTGTCCTTCAAAACGTGGGCCAGACAATCCTGTGCCTTCATCCCTTAGGCCCACCAGAGAGACCCTGAAGGATCTTTCCTGGCATGCTGCAAAGTGCGGATCAGGCACACTGAGGCCTCCGTACTGTTACAGCTGAACGTGCATCTGAAGCAAAGAAAAGATACATTTTGGAGGCTGGGGAATACTGCCCTCCTTACTTCTGCTCTCCAGCTTGTGAAATTAAAGCCATGATGAGCCGTGAGCACTTTGGCACCACTATGCTGGTCTTTGGTAAAAACAGCTTTTTACCTGGTTGTTGGATGGAGGAGGAAGTTGTTTCCTTTCCCTTTTTAAGAGCAAAGGGGACCAAATCTGACTGAAAGTCCCCTGTGCCAGGACTAGTTGTGGTCTGGGTCAGAGCTACACATCAGATTTGTGGTGAGATGCTGGTTTGTAGAGCCCACTGTGTGGTGAGGCAGCAAAAGCTCTGCGCTGTGACCCTTCAACCTAGCGTGGGGTGGGCAGGGTGGATAAAGGCCATGCTGAGAGGCGATGCGCTTTCCCAGAGCTGGAGGGGCATTTGGGAGTCCGGTTGTTGCTGGTCCTCAGCGAAAGAAGGAGACAAACTGAAGCACAGGAAGTTCCGTCTGAACATGAGGAAGAACTTCTTCCCTCTAAGGGTGACGGAGCACTGGAACAGGCTGCCCAGGGAGGTTGTGGAGTCTCCTTCTCGGGATATTTCTGAGCCCCGCCTGGACGAGGTCCTGTGCAGCCTGCTGTAGGTGACCCTGCTTCGGCAGGGGGGTTGGACTGGGTGACCCACAGAGGTCCCTGACCATTCTGGGATTCTGTGGTTCTGAGATGCTCGCTCTTGTGTGCAGAGCAGTGGGTAAGGTGTGTGTCTCTGCTCCTCCAACTGCTTGTTTGCCTGGGGGGTCTGCCGTGCTCAAGGGACGCGGGGAGTGAGGGAAGGTGGATGGTGCAGCCAGCTGTAGAGTCGGGCAGGACGGGGTCTGTCGTTCGTGGCGCACCCCGCAGAGGGTGCTGCTGCTCTGCCGTAAAGCCCAGGCTGGATGGATGCGTGCAGCTCCCCTTGGCCACGTAGGAGCCCGGTGCTTTGGTGTTGGTGAAGACCTTTTCTCCTTGTTCAGGCTCCTCTGCTGTCCTTTAGGGAGGTGGAAGCAGCAAGGGCAGCAGCAATTCTCCTTCTGGTGCTCCTCATCCACCCTCCCCAGGGCTCCTGCAGTGGTCTGGATATTTTCTGTCTTTCCTTTTGCCATGCTTCATAGCTCTGTCTTGGCTGAGGATGTAGTTGGAGCAGTTTTCTGTTAACTGCTGCCCCTGTTGGCATCTTGATAACCAGTGTGGAGGCAGTGGCAGAGCTCTCACCTTGCTAGTGTGTGGTCTCTTTACCCCAAATCAGTCTTAGCTGCTCCCTTCCTAGGGAGAATGCTGGCAGTACAGCTCTCAGTGCTGCCTGAGTGTCTTGCACAGGAAATAATTTCACTTGCTTCTTGTAATGCAGCCTCTAGGATGCCGGTGGCTTCTGAGGAGCCACAGACAGTCTTGCCCTTGGCTTCCCTCTCTCTCTCTCACCTCCCCGTTTCTCTGAGTGCTCTTACCAGAAGCGGCTCCCTGGGGTGTCAATCCTGGCTCCTCGGAGCTTGGATGCGATGTCAGCCTGAGAGGCAGGGGGGGGGGCGTGCAGGAGTGGGAGAAGAGAAGGGAGAGGCTCCCTGTGTGTCCGCAGGCATCAGGGACGGGCGAGGAGGCCATGGTCAGCGTCATCTGCTCCTACGATGACCTGAGCCGCAAGCTGTGGAACCTGAAGGAGCTGCCGCTGACGGTGACTGCTGTGCAGGGCGTGCATCCAGCCCTCCGGTATACAGATGTGAGTGTCCTCGGGCACAGCCCACGTGTGGGGGTCTGTGAGGAGCTGGGGGGAGGCCCTGGGCTGAGGGAACAGAGAATTTGTCACCCTTCTGCTTTGGTGGTTCCTGAGAGCCCTTGGGGTGATGCAGTGCCTCTTCTTTGCTGTCCTGGAGCTGGCTGTGCACAAGTTTGGCAAGCTGGCCATGCCCAGGAGCTTTGCTGGAGTGGGAGGTTTGGGTGAGGGGGTGCATGGTGCCCGGGGTTTCTGCTCCTTGTTCTCACTCCCCGGGCGGCTGTTGTCTCCCAGGTCTTCCCTCCCATTCCCATGAAGCCGATTTATTCCTTCCATGCCCGACTCAGGACCAAGCACTTGCTGCTTCCCTCGGAGGAGAAGCCTTGCCCGGCCTACATGGCCCCTTTGAAGAGTAAGTGGGGAGAGGTGTGAGCGGGGGATGATTTGGGGGGACGGAAGCAGAGGCACGTGGTGGTGCTGGCTCCGTTACTGCTGTGTTGGTGTGCTGCAAGCAGCAGTTGAGCCCCAGCTCCTCCTGCTCTCCTGCTGTAACCTCTAGTCCCAGCCACCCCCATCCAACACCTTATTTTTGCCTGGGGCTCACTGGCCTCCTGCTGTCCCTCTGCCCCCAGTCATCTGCCACATGGAAGGCAGTGGCCGGTGGCCACAGGACAAAGAAGCCATCAAGCGCATCAAGGCGGCTTTCCACCTCCAGCTGGCTGAGCTCCTCCAGGAGCAGCACCAGCTCGTTTGCAGACCTGCGGTTACCCACACCGACGTGTACAAGGTAGGGGGGAGCAAACAGGGACCTTCTCCAGACTAGACTTGTTGCTGAGGAGGCAGGCGGGGGGGCTGTGGCAGTGGTCCTACTGGTCAAAACCAGGATTTGGATGGTGGGCATAGGAAAGAGCATAGTGAGACTGCGCTGATGCCAGGACACTGCTGTTGTGTCCCTGAGGTGCAGCGTAGCCTGCTTACATTACCACCAAGCCTGACTTCACCTTCTGCTCCCACCTCAGGATGGCTACATTTTCCGTCTCCAAGTAGCCTACCACCGGGAGCCCCTGATCTTGAAGGAAGTGGTCACCCCTGAAGGGATGCTGAAGTACCAGGACACAGAGGAGTCTCGGCAGCTGGAGCTGGAGACGTTGCATCTGCCCTATCTAACCAGCTCCCTGCATGGGTAGGTGAGGCGGGGGGTGCCTGGGGGTCCAGGACGTGGGATGTGGCTGGAAAGCGGTGTGGAGGTGCCCTTAGATGTTGAAGGGTGATGGCGGGGAGAGGAGCTTGTGGTGGGAAGTGGCCCTTCTGCCTACCTCGTGAGAGGCTCTGCGGGGGGATGGAGAGATGAGGTGGCACCGGTTGTCCCTGTTGTCACATCCAAGGTCACTGGTATGGGGAGACAAGTACTAAAGAGCCGCATGGTTAGGGATGAGCATGTGGCAGCATTTCCCCTTCGTTCCCCCAAAACCTCAAGACCTGCAGAGAGTGCCCTGCGCTCATGAGGCTGCACACATGTTCCTGGCAGACATTTGCCCCTCTTCTCTTCTGCTGAATGCCAAGAGGTCATTTTGGGTCCTGCAATGTGTGAGTTGAGCAGTGGCTTGTCTCCCTCCTGGCAGGCTCCAGCAGCAGCACCCCGTCTTTGGCAGCACTTGCCGTCTGGCCAAGCGCTGGGTCCGCGCCCAGCTTCTGAGCGACAACATCTCTGAGGAGTGTTTGGACCTCCTGGTGGCGTTTCTCTTCCTCCACCCGGCCCCTTTCACACCACCCAGGTGAGGTTGAGGAACCTAGGCTGGCCCGGTGGGGATTTAGTCCTTTTTTTAGCTTACCTGGGATGGAGGAGGGATGGAATACTGCTAGGTGCTCTGGGTGCTGGGAGGGTGCATAGCAGGGAATGTGAGACCCCTGCGCTGCCAAGACGCTGTCCCAAGCCCTGCTGCCAATGGCTGTCCAGAGCAGATGGAGGTGCTTGGCACTGCAGGGCTGTGGCTTCCCCTACCTTGTGCGCCGCAGGGAAGCAGGTAAGGACGGGAGCAAGTGTCCTCGTGGCCTCGGTGCAGGTGGCATAGCCACGGGGTGCTGTGTGCCTTCATGAGTACCCATGTGGCCCCTTGTCCTGGGGGTGAAGACCAGGAGAAGCAGGGGCCAGGGCTGCGCTGTGGCTACCAGCATGCTGGGGCTCCTGGGTTCCCTGGGAGGGATGTTATGGTGGTGCTGGTGGCTGCAGCCTCCCTTCCTGCTGGAGAGGATTCCAAAGGGAAGGGCCAGAGGTCAGCCACTGAAAGCTGAACTGAACTGGCACGTTTGTAAATAACCCAGCAAGGCTTGCCTGGCCCCTGGCAAGTGGATGGGATATAGCCCAGAGGGGATGAAATTAAGTTAAAGGGACTGCTTTTGCTCCATCTGGAGCCAAAAAATTACTCTGCCCTGCACTTGGCGTCTGATTTCCTTCCCCAGAGTAGCAAGGAGTAACAGCCTGATGCCTAGAATGCTTTTGTGTCTCCTAAAATGCCCTCCTAGCAGGAGCCCCATCGTCCCAGCTGTCTGGGTTCGCACACGTGTTGTGTCACAGGGGAAGAAGCACACTGGGAGCATGGCTGGTGTTGTTTGGAGCTGCACCAGAGAAGGGAGCAGCCCTCTCTCCACCTCCCTCTTGTTCCAACCCCAGGAGACTGGGTCGGGGGAGTGGTGGGAGATGGGGTGACCGGGGGCACTGTTTCACTTTTTTGCTGATTTCTTTTACTTGGGGAGGGAGGAACAAGGGGGAAAGACTTTCTCTGGGGATTCAGAGAAGGGGAAGCGCCTTGTGCTTGTTCTGGACTTCCCTCTTCCACCACAGACATCCCTTTTTGGGCTGCATGTGGGCTGGGCATTGCTAAGTCACCTCCAAGTCCCGGTTGCTGCCAATGGCGACAATGCTAGCGTTGAACTGTTTTGTCTCGCCTGCAGCTCTCCCCAGGTGGGGTTCCTGCGCTTCCTCGACCTGCTGGCAACCTTTGACTGGAAAAACAACCCTCTGATCGTCAACCTGAACGCTGGCCTCACAGGTGAGCAGGCAGCATACGGGAGAGCAGCAATGTGAGGGTCTTGAGCCCTTCTTGGTCAGCGCCTGGTTCCAGGGGTCTTGGATATGCAGAGGTGTCACAGCTTCTGCTGGGGGCAAGGGGTTTTTCCCCTCCCTTACTCCTGTCTTGCCCTGCTTTTGAAGCCCTCTGCTACTTCGTAGCAGGCGTCTTTGCTGGAGGATTTGCCCTGACTCTTGCGGGCTGAAGCTTCAGTTGTGCTGGGAGAGCAGTCAGGCTCCTGAATGGGAAGCTTCAAAGCCTCCTGCGCTGTGTCTGCTTTGAGAGCGCTGCTGCACCACTCAGACCACGGGGATCATCTACTAGTCCCCGATTTCAAAACCTGCAATGGAAAAGGGCTGCAGTCCTCCAGGTTTTACCTCCTGAGCGTTCAGAATTTCCTTGTAAAGGTCTCTGGTTTCCAAAGGAGCACGCTGGTGCATCCTAGTGGACCTGTGGTCCTGCCCTCTTCCGTGTGTTTTGTTGATCATCTTTTGGATATGTGCTGAATTTCCCCAGGAGCCAGAAGAGACCATGGGATTGTGCTGGTTTGGGTGATGGTTGGGTGGGGGAGATAGCTACACCCAGCAGTTAAAGCCAATTTTTAAGAAAAGGTAAACTTGTTCGATAGCGGTGTGTGTAATGCTGGAGGGACCGCTGTTTTTGTGGGCTTCAGCACTCCCTCACTCCTTTTTTCAGACAGAGAACTGGGTTTTGTAAACTGGTATTTTTCTACCCTCCAGCTTTTTTAATGAACTAAAAGGGAAGCGGTTTTGGCCAAAGAGCTACTTGTTTCCCCCTTGAGGAGGGCAGGGATGGCGGGGACATAGAAAACTCTTTGGATACATTGCCTGCCGTTAGCTTATAATGTGAGTTCCCAACCCGTGTCAGTCCCTGTGCCTGCCGTGTCTTGAGCCGTGCCTGGGCCCACCTGGGTGAGTTTAGAGCAAAGGTCCATCTAGCCCTGCATCCTGTCTCCAAAACTTCCTCCATGTGGATGCCGAGGGAAGTGTGAGAGTAGAGCCAAGCCCGAGGTGATGGAGCTATGATGGTGCGTGGACTGCGGGATCGGAGGGCGGGAGAGGATAAAGCCTGTTGTACTGCACTTTTCTGGGCTTTGATATGTGGGTGAGGAGGCTGGACGGCGGTCGATGGGGCAGAGCATCTCACCCGTCTGCCTGCTCTCCAGACACTGACTGCACAGAGATCAAGAACAAGTTTGTGGCTGCTCGCTCTCGCCTCCCCGTCATGTTCATCGCCACCCCCAAAGACCAGTGGAGCTCCATGTGGACCCAAGAGCGACCCTCGGCCCAGGTGAGCTGGGCCCTCTGTCTTTGCCCTGCGATGGTTGCTGGCTTGGGGCAGTTCCCTGCTCCCACTGCTGGACCCAGCTCCAATGGCCCTGTGCATGAGCAGCATCCCTGCGGCATCCAGGATTGCCGAGTTTCACCCCCCGGCTCTACTCCCTCCCTAGATACTGCAGCGCCTTCTTGTGCTGGCCTCAGAGTCTCTCTGTGCCCTGGAGGAGCAGCTCATGGACCCGCTCAACAGTCAGGATGTGAAGGTAAACCCCTGGGGCACCACCACAAGGGTTTTCAGGCTCTGGCAAAGCATACTGGTCTTCAGTGGTAATTGCTGGGATGTGGTAGTAGGATTCAGGCTGTGGATGTGCGTGGTTGTTCTGGGATGAAGACCAGCAAGGAGAGAATCATAGAATCATAGGTTGGAAAAGACCTCTAAGATCATCAAGTGGAAGCCTCAGCCCGACAGCACCATGCCTGCTAAACCATATCCTGAAGTGCCGTATGTAGATGTTTTTTGAGCCTGTCCGTGGCTGGTGAGTCCAGCACATCCGTGGGCAGCCTGTTCCAATGCTTGACCAGTCTTTCAGTAAAGAAATTTTTCCTAAGATCCAATCTGAACCTCCCCTGAGGCACCTTGGGGCCATTTCCTCTTGTGCTATGGCGAGTTACTTGGGAGAAGAGACCAACATCTGCCTCGCTACAACTGCCTTTCAGGTAGTGGTAGAGAGCGATAAAGTCTCCCCTCAGCCTCCTCTTACCCAGACTAAACAGCCCCACTTCTCTCAGCCACTCCTCGTAAGACTTGTTCTCTAGACCCTTCACCAGCCTCGTTGCCCTTCTCTGGACACGCTCCAGCACCTCAATGTCCTTCGTGTAGTGAGAGGCCCAAAACTGAACACAGTATTCCAGGTGCAGCCTCAGCCATTGGCCTTCTTGGCCACCTGGGCACACTGCTGGCTCATGTTCAGCCGGCTGTCGACCAGCACCCCGAGGTCCTTTTTCACCGGGCAGCTTTCCAGCCACTCCTCCCCAGGCCTGTAGTGTTGCGTGGGTTGGTGTGACCCGAGTGCAGGACCTGGCATTTGGCCTTGTAAAACCTCATACAGTTGGCCCTCGGCCCATCGATGCAGCCTGTCTAGATCCCTCTGCAGAGCCTTCCTACCCTCAAGCAGGTCAATGCTCCCACCCAGCTTGGTGTCATCTGCAAACTTACTGAGGGAGCACTCAATCCCCTCATCCAGTTCATTGATAAAGATGTTCGACAAGACCGGACTCAAAACTGAGCCCTGGGGAACACCACTCCTGACCAGCCACCAAGTGGATTTAACTCCATTCCACCATCACTGTCTGCGTTCAGCCATTCAGCCAGTTCTTTATCCAGTGATGGGAACACCCATCCAAACCACAGGCAGCCAGTTTCTCCAGAAGGATGCTGTGGGAAACAGTGTCAAAGGCCTGACTAAAGTCCAGGCAGACAACATCCACAGCCTTTCCCTCATCTGCTAGGCGGGTCACCTGGTCATAGAAGGAGATCAGGTTGTTCAAGCAGCACCTGCCTTTCATGAGCCCATGCTGGCTGGGCCTGATCCCCTGGTTGTCCTCCACATGCCTGGTGAGCGTACTCAGGATGAATCGCTCCATAATATTTCCCGGCACCGAGGTCAGGCTGACAGGCCTGTAGTTCCCAGGATCCTCCTTCCTGCCCTTCTTCTAGATTGGTGTTACACTGGTGATCCTAAAGGGAGAATGAATGGGAGAATGGGGGCTGGTGCCCCCCTGTGCTACCCTGCTTCTGGGTGACCCAGCTCTGCATAGCAGCTTGGGGTGAAATACCATTGACTAGGAAACATTTGGTTTGTATTCTCTGGTTTTCTTGGGACCTGAGCAAACCTGTGATGATCCTGTGCTAATCAGTCTGTGGCTGGAGCAAATGACTCCTCTGGGAGACTCTCTTGGTGTATCTGTACAAATCTGGCTTATGTGCTCGAGTCTAACCAGACCCGTGGTGGCAGATGTTTTGGCAGGATGCCAACGGGCACTATAGGAAGGTGTTATTTTGGTTTGAGCAGAGGAGCAAGGCCGTGTATAGTTTAACCTTCTTAATTTTCTCAGTGATTTTGTGTTTTAAGTTAAAACATCCATTACTGAAATCTACCTGGGAGACGTGGAGATGTTTATTTGCCCTTTGAAGGGAGATGCATGGAGGGGAGCTTGTTGGTGCACCAAGTAGTGACCTAGGCAATTGAAGCTGAGAGGACTCAAAAAGCCAAACAGTGGTTAGATGTGACAAATTCACATTAGGAAACACACCCCCCCCCCCCCATTTCGCAGATTTTTTTTTTTTTTCTGTCTGGGCAGTACAAAAAGTATTTACCGACACTGCTTTCGGTTCCGCTGCATTATGTGCTGGAAGTGTTGCAGGGGTGAGATCTACTTAAGGTGCTAGCAGTGTTCATGGCAGGGTTGTGAGGGGTGAGATGCTGCATATGTAAGCAGTGCCCAGTGTGCCACAGTCGTGGTGTGGACCCAAAACCAAAATTCAAGAGGTGTGGTGTGAGCTGGGCGTGGTTAGCTCCCGAAATGAGCCATCAGCTGTCCAGAGCATCCTCCTAACCCCTCGTCTCAGCCTCCGTGGTCCTCCTTCCCTCTCCCCTCCCCTTGGCCGTTGCAGTGGAGTCCTTTCCCATCCCCAGGGTATCCTTCTGGTCCGTACCAGTGTCCTCCCAGGCCTGTGGGATGCTGTTTCCAGGGCTGCTAATGTATTTGTAAGCAAAGCTTGGGGCAGGGAGGAGGGAAAAGCCTTTCCAGTGCAACTTGGAGTTGCCTCCTCTTCTAATGTATCAAAGAGGGTGCTCCAAGGCTTTTTTTGCCTTTTCATTTGGGTGACTTGGGGCCATGCCCACTCTCATGCAGATACAGACATGGGTTTGTGAGCTCCATTTCTTTGCTCCCAGGGGGCATAATAAGACATGGACTTGGTCAGCTGGGTGGGAAAGGAGGTCTGCGTGGACTAGAGCTGGGACTTGCTGCTAGTCACTAAGATTCTTCATGTGAGATCTCCCCAGTCTGGCTATAAACCAGCTCCAAGCAGTGGGTTTTCTGCCAGCACCAAGTTGGGCGGTGTCCCATGCCTCTGTTCATGTCCCTGCACCATTTATTTCACAAAAACGTACACATAGTTTCTAAGTTTTCTTTTTTTTCCTTTTAATGCAGCTGTATCCACTGTGCCAGATCCTGCCTGTCCAAATGTTTATGTGTCTGGGATTGCTTCCCTCCATTAACGGGGCTTGCTCACACTCTCTGCCTCCTTGATGGAAGATGCTGCTGCCCACTGGGGCAGCTCCTGTTGGGCAGATGGGACCGTCCCGTTGTTACATAGGTCCTCATGTCCCCTGGGTGTCATTCGGCTCCCGTTAGCTTCTTGGCTCCCCTCTTTGTTCTGGAACTCTGCCACATGTGGCATGGTTACCTGTCTGTTACCTGTCTCAGCTCACCGTCTGTCCCTCTCTGACTGCCCACCCCACTGTTGTGCACTCAGGTGGGCTTCCTGGGGTCTCTGGTCAGGGCTGGAGAGCACCATGTTGGCCCTGTGGAGAGCTCTTCTCCAGGCACCGTCCCCAACTCCTGGGGACAGCAGTTGGATTTTTCTGCCAACCTGGGAAACCAGTAGGGTAGAGAGTGTAGTCCTTCTGGCTAGACATCTGACGTGGGAGGGAGCATCTGCCTTCTCTAAGTGTTGAGCTTACTGCGCAGTAGGTCTGTGACAATCGAATGTGTCCTTCCTTGTGCACTTTGGTGGTCTAGAGACCATTTAGGCTGTCCACCTGGAGGAGGCCATGGGGGAACCACCTTGCTCTCTACAGGGTCCTTGTTACAGCACTTGCATGGGGCATGAGGGTCGCATCCTTTGGATGTGAGCAAAGCCCATGCTGGAACAGGGATGTGTCTCAGCCCAGAGGGAATGGGGTGGCCGGCATGGGCTGGAGCTCCCTGGGGCTCTGCCACAGCCATATTTTTCCTGTGGATGTTTTGGCAAAATTCTGACATTAATCTCACAAAAATTTTGGCTTTGGTTTACTGTTCTCTAAGAAGAAAGGAATAAAATGCAAACAAAGACTTGGGAAACCTCTCCTGTCTTCTGCTCACCTGTGTCCTATGTTGAGCAGCACTGGTCTTTTTTTCCCTGCAGATGGTCTTCCGCCCTCCTTTGGACTCCTACGATGTCCTAATCCACCTGAATCCAAACCAGATTCCTCGACACCTGGAGGGCGTGGACCGACCGCTAAAGTCGTTTTCTCGGGGTATGGTGAAGAACAGCACTTCTGTGAAGATCCTCTTTCCTGTGGTGGACTATGACCCCGTACAGTGCTACCTCCAGGAGCTGAGAGTAAGCACAGCCCATTGGGGAGGCCCAGGGGGTTGCCTGCTTAACGGGGAGCTGGCTTCTGGTGTTCAGATTATTAGTTGCCTGCCACTGCAGGACCTAGTTAGTGACAGCTTTATGTTATTTTGCATGTGACGGTCACTCTTTGTGTGCATCTGAAATCACTTCTTCAGCAGAAGGCCTGTTGAATGCATTCTTCCACTTCTTCCATGGAAATGGGAGTGCTGCTGATGTGAGAATGACCTCAGATACAAAGCACATGAAGCTTTTGCTGAAGAATGTGATATTTCATGCAAAAGTATGTTTAAGCCTTTTGTCTCTAGGTCATTAATTGACTTTTAATGGCTTCTTGCACCAGCTGGGGTGTGTGATGGACAGTAGCTACACATATTTTCTGGAGGGATGTACAGGAGTCCATGGCATGGCACCAGTAGGGCTCCTGCTGTTAGGCCAATGGTTGCGTGAGCCATAGAGGCTGAAGGTTGGTCACTGGATGGTTTCTCTGGGGCTGGTTACGTGCATGATGGCAGAGGAAGTTGGTAATGTGGGTATATGGAGAACATCAGTATACAGTTATCAACCCAGTGCTTCTCCACCATGTAGCCATGCCAAAGACTCAGCAAGCTGGGGAGATATGCAAGATGCTGGGCGGCAGCGGTGGTCCACAGTGGATCTGGACAGCCAGTACTTTGCAGATGTGCAGCCTCTGCCTCTGTGGCCCTTCCCAGCTTTGTGTGCAGGAGCTGAGTAAGTGTTACTGTGCGGAGAGGTGGGGCTGTGATGCCCTTTTTTGAAAACCTGGCTTGACTTTGAAGTGCTGTCACCCCTTACCTGCAGAAGTGCTGTGGGCAGTGTCAGAACTGCCATAGGAATCGTAGGCTGGCTTTGGCAGGAAGGGTGCTGGGTTGGACTAGATGACCCACAGAGGTCCCTTCCAACCCCTACTATTCTGTGATTCTGTGATTCTGATTCTGTGATTCCCCACTCAGGGCAGAGCCAGCGTTGACGCTGGAGCAGCCTGTGCAGAGCCCGGCCCTGTTGAATGCTGACTGTCTCCAGGGGTGGAGATTTCCTGCCTCCCTGTCACAATGTTCAGCCACCGTCGTGCAAATTTGTTTCTTAATGTCTTACTGGGATTTCCCTTGTTGCAGCTTGTGTTGGCTCCTCAGGTCCCTGCGGCAACCGGCCTGTGCTAGCTGCAGCTTGCTGGAAGGCAGAGCTGGAGGTGGGGAGGCTCCAGCTTTAGCTGTGCTTTGGCAGCTCCTGGCTGGCCCTCCCAGCCCTCCTGGGCAGCATGGCAGGTCAGAGGGCTTTCCTCTTGCCCTTCTCCCAACCAACACGCCAGGAGGGTTTTGTCCACCTTCCCATATGCTTCTCTTGCCTGAAGATTTGGTACCAGCTTCTCTCCAAGCTTGTGCTGGGGAAGGAGGTGTGCCTGCAGAAGAAGAATAGGTTTGGGTAGTGTCTCTTCTGGGCTGCCTCCTACAGGGTTTAGCATTTGCTGGTGCCTCAGTTGGCTAAACCTGCATGGCCACCGAGCATTTCTCTGCTACCTCTGCCAGGCTTGGTGGTGGTGGCAGCTGCAAGGAGGGACAGCAGAAAGGGCCAGATCTTGCCTCCAGGTCCGTAGAAGGAATTGCAGAGGTACCTGAACTAAAACTCCAGTTCAGGTTGGAAAATGCTGGGCCCTTTAGGTTCAAGCTCCCCTTTCACCTTAACCCAAGTAGCTTAGGAGATGGCCAAAGAAAACCTCGAAGGGTTTATTTGAAGGTTTCTTCAACCCTAGGCACAGCCCTGTTACCTTCCATGCTGCTTGCCAGCTGCATTTCGTGCTGATCTTTGCCGGTTTGTGAGAATGTGCTGTGGCTTTTGTAGAGCTCCCAGGTCTAGCAAGGTGTGAGCTTGGTCCTTCTGTCACCCACAGCTGGTTGGGACAGTCTAGGGGGAGGCAAGGAAGGGAGAGACAGGGATGCATGCAAGACCTTTTTAAATTGAGGAAGACCTCAGAATTGTCCCACAATTTACCTGCAAGTAATGCTGCTTGTTTAGCTGGAGAGACGTGAAGGAGAAGAGGGGAGAGCAGGTGCTTGGTTCTCTCCTGCCTGTGAGAAGGAAGGTGATTTTGAAGCTGGAGGACACATTGCAGAGAGTATTTGAGGGTTTTGTTGGGGGGTCCAGGATATGCAAGGAGGAGAGGGAGAAGCACCCTGCACAAAAATTTTAAAAGGGAGCAGGAAGCACAGCAATTGGGAATGTTCACTATTTTACTCTTTCTTGGCATCTGGATCTGAGGAAGAATATCAAGACCAGCCCCTCTCTTCTGTTCCCTGCATGATGAGGATTTGATCTGCCACTATGAAACCTCAACCAAGAGGCATAGGTCTGGGTAGGAAATGGAGTTTTCTGAGCCCGAAATCCCTCTCCATGCCATAGTGGAAGGGAGATTAGAGTTGAACAGAGCCTTTCAGCAGCTGCCAAGGTGCTGGAGGTGCCTGCACGCATGAGGCTGAAGCCTCTGTGTCTTCAGAGGGGTCAGGGCTAAGAGACTTTCATGGAGACCTGGCAGGAGGTGGACTTCTTGCTTGAAGAGGCGCTGGAGGCTGTTGGTTGAGCCGATGGGGAGAGCAGGCTCCCTGGGGAGGCTGTTAGCAGGCTTGCAGCAGATCACACTGTCTGTCGCGGCACTCGATCAGGAAACTCAGTGGGGTGTGTTGCAGTTTATAGGACTCTTTTGTGCTTCTAGTCAACTTGGTGTCAGCAAATGGCTCCAGAAGTGAAAGGTGCAGAAGAGACTTCCCTGAAAAGCAGCTTTCATTATCCTTTAAGCAATTATGACTTAATTGATCCAGTCAATTATGACATCCAAAGTGATTTTTTACTGTCTGTTTTCTCTCTTTCTTTATACAGGTAGTAATAGACTTGGAATAGGATTTGGTTGGGTTGCAAATTAAAGCTGGTCCTAAATCCAGTATACTAACATTGCAATGAAGAAACATGAATATGCGCAAAGGTCACATTGCCTCATTGGAAGCAGTGTTGTGTTCGCTTGGTGTCTCTGTCTTTGGCCTGAGGGTGCTTGGGAGGAACAGAGCAGAAACCAGTCACAGGTTTCTCTGAAGTATGGAGTGGAGAGCTTGAAATCTGCCTCGGCAGCCCTGGATGGGGGGGCTTTTCCTCCTCTTGAAGGCTCTCAGATGGGTATGGCTGTGTTGCCTTGCGGCCGTCATATTGGAGGTATCCTGCAGTACCAGTTCACTGGGCTCTCGTAGCTTCCAGATCAGTAGCAGGCAGACCTGAAGGGGCTGATGAATATCTCTTTCTGGGCAAACAGGTGTTTGCTTTTCAAAAATCAAAGCGGTGATGCTGCATGTGCTTTCCTGTAACTTAGCCGTGTCCTTCTCCTGTGCTGAAGGCCTCAAAAGCTGACTTTTCACTGCAGGGTCACCAGCAAGCAGGTGATGCATACTGTCGGTCAAAACTACCCCATCAGAAACCATCCTGCTTCGTGTCTCAGTGTACCGATGTTGTTGCTTGAAGGCAAGGCCTTTGCGTCGGCTTTGTGCTTTGGCCTGGCTTTGGTTGGTAGCCTCTCCAGCATCTTTGCATTTCTCTTCCCCGGCTTTTGCTTCTCCAAGCAGCATTCAGCTCATCCTCATCTTGAAGGCTGGGATCCCCGGGGGTGATCCAGTTGCAGCAAGAAGTTGGTGCTGGAAAGGAGTGTGGTGACAGCAGTGAATCCTTATGAGACATTTTGGATGAGAAGGCACTTGGCCGCAGACCCGATTGGCTTTGACTCAGAATAATTTGCTCTCCCTTAATAGTACAAACCACAGAATTGAGCAACAGCATTGTAGCCGAGGCTGACAGTGCAGCTGTGGTGGGTTTATAGCAACGAAGGGAGACATCTGCCATGCAGCAGTACTGTGGGATTTTGTTCACTTTTATGGGCAGACGAGAAACATCTGCCATGTTCTGAGCTTGCCACATGAAAAAGGAATTTAAAGGGCCAGGCATATTGATTGAGTTGAGAGGGGCAGGGAGTAGCAGCTTCCCCAGTGCCCCTGGCCCAGTAACCAGGAGGTCCACTTTTCTTCTGTCCAGCCTGTAGCTCCTGAGAGGTGCCTGCTCTTCTCAAATCAAAAGGGATAGCAAGGCAGGAGCACTCTGGAGCTGAAGGATTGCTGCAGGCCTTCCCCAAGGGGCCTAACTGAAGGAGAAAATGAAAGGAGGGGAGGTGATGAGTCCTGACTGCCTTAATTTTTCCTTCTCTAAGGAGATGTGCTGCAGGAGCTGGTCTGGTCACGTTATTGTGGTGCCTGGGAGGCTCTGGGTAGAGATGAAAGGCTGGTTGTGGGATTCACACAGCAGATTCTTAAATTCCAGGACAGATCTGAGAGAAAAGGGCTGTTCTGGTGACTTGTCCAGATGAGACGGCTTTGCAGACAGACGCTTTTGAGGGAAAGCAGGTGCCAGATGTCCTGCAGAGAGGGCTTCCCTGGAGCTTCAGCCCAATCACCAGCCTCCCCAGCACCTATGGTCTCAAGCACTTCAGCAAGAAAACGCTGGGTCTGGTTCCAGCGGGGATTCTCCAGCAAGGCTAAAGGAAGTTTTAAGTGCCTCAAATAAGGCTCTTGTAGGATCTCTGTCATGGTGACTGTTGAGCTGCAGAACCCCAGCCATTTGCTGGGGATGTGGCGTGGGAAGGCTCCGTCAGCGCAGCTCTTACTCCAGGGTGGCGTGGCTGTCTTTGAGCTCGAGGGATGATCTTTCTGCATGGATCCAGTGAGTCCTGTGGATATATACTCGTGATGCCCATCTGCATGCATTCAGGAGCTCACAGAGCTCTGGTCACCTCCTCAGGGTTCAGAGCTGTTCTGTCCTGTTGGGGAGAATCAGATGAAGCTGCCTGTGCCGTGTCCATCTGCATATCTATTATGGCTGTTAAAAAGCCCTAGCATTTCTTACCGGATCTTTGGTGTCAGTGGGTGTGAGGTGCTCTCTTTCACTGAAGTTTAGCTTTCTGTGGCTGCACATGTCTATTGGAGAGCTCGTGTCAGAGGAGCTGCCCATCTTGTACACGGGGCATCTTTCCTGTGCAGATGAGCAGGAAAATGCTTCCTGCTTTACTGTAAACATCCTTCTCTCTAAAACTGTTTTGCACTTCTTGCACCTTCAGACAAGACTTTTCTGGAAGACTTTTTCTTTCTTCCTGCCATGGTGCAG